AGCCAGCTGCCGCGCGTGTCCAGCATCTTGAGCCCGCTTCCCGCACCCCCCCCCCCCGCCCCGCAGGGTTATCGACTTTGTACCCCGTCCCCATCCCTCTTCCTCTCATTTCAGACCCCGTACACCTCCACAAAGCGAATATAGCTGTTTGTGCACATCCAATGCAAGCGCCCGTCTCAACTTTCATGATGATGCGACTTGCACAGGACAACTCGATCATGGACAACATCGACTACAAAGCGAAGGAGAAGCCCGCCCCGGCGGCGAGCGCCTTGTGCTTTCTGTGTGCTGCGTCTGGGAGCTACGCTCCTAATCCCATCCCGCTTTCGATAGGGCGACGCCGACTGGACGGTCTCGGCCAAGGTGTTTCCAGAGGAGAAGCCCGCCCCGGCGGCGAGCGCCTCGCATGCTGCGGTGCAAGCGGAGCCTGCGCTCACAGCTGCTGACGCGCCCAGCTTGCGCGTGTGCACAGGACATCTCCGAGTGGACGACCCCCTCAAAGTCGCGCCGCAACAACGAGCGCAAGGAGGCGTCCGCCCCGATCGACTGCAGCAACGGTTACGGGGCCCTGATCGGGGCGGGCGGCGACGAGGGCATCGTCGGTGGCGCCGACACCGGCAAGGCGCCTTCCAAGGCGACCCGCGGATCCACGCCGTCGGCCACAAACTCGGTGCTCGCCGCCTGCATGTGCGGTTTCCGCCCCCTGCTCGCCGCTCACAGCCAGTCTCGCGCCCCTGTTCAGGGCGCGACGGTCATCAAGCCCAAGACGGTCAAGCCCGAGACGGTCAAGCCCAAGACGGTCAAGCCCAAGACGGTCAAGCCCAAGACGGTCAAGCCGGTCACGCCGGAGGGCTCCGTCTCCGCCTTCGGCTGGCTCTCGTGGCCCAAGCTCTGCTGGCACAACGTGCTCTGCACCGTCTTCATCTGCCTCATCGCGGCGAGTGCTAGCGGCGGGGCGTTCGCCTACTTCTCGCACGGCTCCGACAGCCTTCTAAGCGGGTCCTTTGTGCTGGCGATGCGATCACTCTCCCCTCTGGTGCCGCTTTCCTTCGCACATGCGGTCACCGCCTCGCAATGGGGCATCATCCTCGACTGTGGCTCCTCTGGCACACGCGCCCGTGTCTTCAGCTGGCCGGAGAAGGGGTGGAGCATCACCGAGGCGGATGTCGAGCTTGAAATTGAGCCAGGCATCTCGTCGTTCGCCAACAACCCGGAGGCCTTGACCGCCTATCTCGCTCCCCTTCTGGACCAGGCCCGCCTCGCGGTACCAGACCCGAGTACTACAAAAGTCCGGGCTTTTGGCACGGCGGGAATGCGTCTGTTGTCCGAGATGGAGCAAGTGCCTATCTGGTCGGCTGTTGAGGCGGCAATCACAGCTTCTGGCTTTGAGTTTGCGGCGGCCCACACCATCGCCGGTGGATACGAGGGCCTCTTTAACTGGCTTACGAACAAGTACGTTCTCCAGACAACGCTCGGAAAGGATGTGTTCCTGGGCTGCCTCGACTACGGTGGGGCGTCCTTTCAGGTCACGTTTGCGCCGGCAAGTGGAGTCATCCAAGATTTTGGCTACCGCCTAAGGGTTGATAGCTCCCAAGAGCGCGTCTACTCGTACTCATACATGCGGTCCGGGCAAGATCAGGCGATGCTGCGCTATGCAAAGGCGTTGGCATCCAGGAGCCAGGAAAGCCCGATTCTAGACAGCCCGTGCCACAATCAAGGGTTCAACTCTTCCATGAACGTGGCGGGCGCTGGCGAACGCACCCTTCGTGGCACAGGCGACTATAGCAAATGTAAAGAGCTCACACAAGCGCTGCTTAACCAGCAGAACGAATGCCTGCTTGAGCCGTGTGCTGCACAAGGCGTCTATCAGCCGCCGCCCACTGGCGTCAAGTTTTGGGCTCGGGGTGCGCTCTTCTTCACAGCCAACGGGCTCGGGCTCGTCGATTGGGGCGACGCACAGGCACTTTCGACCAACCAAATCAGCGCAAAGGGCGCCGAGTTTTGTGCAAAGCCATGGGCCGACGTCGCGTCCAAGTATTCGCAGAGCTACTGCTTCTCGAGCGCATACATCGTGGCAATGCTCAACGCGTATGCCTTTCCGCCCAGTGATGAAACGGCGGTTGTGTACTCACGCAAGCTCCACGGCTTCTCCACAGGTTGGCCACTCGGGGCGCAGCTCTTTTTCATTGCAGAAGCAAAGGTGGACATCGCGCTCGACAATACGATGATGGGCCCTGCAGCTAAGTCGTGCTCGCCCGCCGAACCGGCCCGCTGCTCGTTTGCCAGCACCGATTGCGCAGCTGGCACATCGTGCAGCTGCATTACCACCTCCATGAAGGGCAACACACAAGAGCGGCGGGTGCTGTTCGCCAGCCAGCAAGCAGGCCAGACGATGACGGACAGCTCGACGAGCGGTGAAGCGTCGTGCTACTGCTTGCCTTGAGCTGGGAGCTTCCAGCACGACATCTACGGCTTCTGACGACAACGTGGACCTCTCGCGGCGGGGCTGCAGGCGGTGTACCCGCATACAACCTCCGTCGAGAGCCGCAGGGGTAAGGGGGGGGTAGCGAAGGCCCGCCGTTGCAGTCCTGGGACACGGATTGGCGGCCGGCTGAGGTGCGGCCGATGATTGCGAGGCGCGCCCCCTTGCGAGGCGGTACAGTCCGACAAGTGAGTGTCGGGTGGTTGCCGTGAGCGTCCACAATGTGGCGCAAGGAGAGTCCCATGCGGCGAGCTGTGAAGTGTGTGCGTTTGCGCCGATGGTTGCGAACGTCGCTGTGCCGTGCATGCGAGATCGGATCACGGTCATGAGTGTTTGCTTTGCATGCGGGCCCATTGGGCAAGGAAGGGGGAGCGTTGTGGTGTATCATGACGCAGGAAGGCACACACGGACAAGCACACCATACGAACCACAAACGTCGGGCGGGCGGGCGGGACAACACAAAACAACACAGGTGCGCAGCACAGCGAAGCACACAGGGCGTGCGCCATGATGGAAAATAAAAACGGACGCGCGATCGCGGGCTGCGGCTCAATCAAGGCTCTGCCGACGAATAGGGTTTGGTGGAGCGCCCTACTTCTCCGACATCTCCTCCTCCTCGGTTGGGGGCGGCACGACAACCGCTTCTATGCGCGTGTGGGACTTGCGTAGGCCATCCCACGAGCTCTGAAGCAGGCAGACAGGCCGTGGTCTCTGGGCCAGGCACGCTCGCTAGCAGCCGACCGACCCCGAAACAAAGTCGCAGCAGGAAGCTGGAAGCACATGTCAACGGCCGCTGTGCAGCCTGCGAGACGATCCACGAATGCAAAACACGCGTGGCGAAGGTTCCATCGCGCATGGGTCATTCCTCAGCTCATTCCGGAGGTCGAATTGGGTCGGAGCGTGCGCCGATCGGCAGCTTTGGGATGAGCGAGGAGGCGACGATCGCGCCGAGTGCCTGCGGGGACTGCATGGGTGGAATGGAGACACTTCAGATTCGGTAGTCGTCGTGACGGTAAACAACGCCGAAGACATCGTTTTGGGCGGTGCTTGGCATGTCACGGCGGTGCTCCTACTCGATGGCCTCGTCATCGACAAGCTCGCAACCTGCCGGGGATAAATTATGTTGCTGTTACGACTGCGCACTTCCCAAAGGCAGCGGATGCCATCAACCTTCTCCGACCCTGTAATTGTTTGATCCGAATCTTGATCCACAGGTGGAAGGCGCTTGTGCTGTTGGACTCGCCGGTCGATGACGAGCTGGATAATGTAGCGAATGCGCGCACTGGCCGAGCCGAGGGCAACGAGAAAGTTGGCGATGTCGTTTAAGCCCAGAGAGCTCGCCAGCGCGACGTATGCCGGTTCGTCCATTGTCAGTAGGCACGGCTCGCCGTTAAGAGGCTCATCGCACATCGGAGTGGGAGTGCACCGGTGACGCAATTTAAAGACGCTGGGTGAGGCGGTGTGCGTCGTCGAGCGGCGCTAAAGGTTTCCGAATTGTTGTAGAAGGATGTTTTTCGGCGGATGAGATCGCGACCGAGCTCAGGCTCGCCGCGGCGTTGGAGGACGCCACCGTCGCCTAGAACCCCTGGCGCACTACGTGCCCCCCCACCCCCGTTGCAGGGCGGCGCTTTATTTATGTCCGCCTTGCTTGTGTGGGCGAAGGCCGAAGCGCGGGTGCGTCAGAGCTGAGCCAAAGTTTTGTTAGCGCCACATTCACCTCCCGTAGAGCGTACTCATCGGCGCGGGCTCTCTCGGCTACGGGACCGGCCCCAGCTTCGGCTGAGGGCTGACAAGCTGCCGAGCCCAAATCACTGTGAGAGGCGTGATTTCTTGTACTTGTTGGTTTTCTAAAATCTCTCTCTCTAGAGCGTAGTGCGTAGAGGGTCCTCGTGCCGCAGAGGGTCCTCGAGAGCTATAGCCTATACTCGAGTAGAGGGTCCTCTACTCGATCGATCGAGTATGCGGAATCGACCCTACTCCCTATATCCAGCCAGCTCAAGTGCTCAAGAGTACTCGATTATAGTCTAGAGGGTCCTCTCAAATGAATGAAACTTCTGAGATCATTTGTGCTGTTGAGCGTATCAGATAAAGCCCGCACCCCGCCGTGGCCGCCGCTTTTTTTCTGTAGTCGTTGCGGTTCGCCTCCTGGGGGTGGCGGTGCCCCGCGCGACCCGCTCGAACGCCCAGCGCGCAGCGCCCCGTCGCCACCATGGCCGAGGACACCTCGGCTCAGGACTACGTCCGCGTCAAGCGGCGAAACACCATCATCTTTCTGTACGTCCAGCTCTCCGACACCGCCTCCGACCTGCGCCAAAAGCTGAGCGCCATCAGCAAGGTTGACGCGGCCGAGATGAAGCTCTTCCTCGACAAGAATGGCGACGTGCCGCTCGACGAAAAGAAGAGCCTCGCCGACCAAAAGGCGCGCCCGCTCCCAGGCCGAGCGTCCACGCAGTGTCGCACCCTAGCAGTGCCGCCACCCGCCTCCGCTGCCGACCCCGACGGCGCGCCTCTGCGGGCGGCGCAGGTCGAAAACGACCAGGAGATCTTCCTCGTCTACAGAACGGAAGGCGCCAAACATGCCCGCCCGACGCCGCTGCGCGCAAGCCGCCCGGCCCACCGACCCCGACCCGCCGCCTCTGCCGGCAGATGGCAGCAGCTGGGAGCCCGTCGAGGTGGGGGCGCCGGAGGAGGGCGCGTGAGGATGCGTGGGCAGGAGCAGCGTCAACGCACGGTGCGTCGCACTCTGCGGGTGCGCCAGACGGGACGCGAGAAGGGGATCGCGCCGGCCGCCGCGGTTGGTCCTCTCACCGGCACCGCGCCGATACTTGCCACTGCCACCACCCTATTTCCCTTGCTTTCCTGGCGTACGTCTGGCGGCATGTACGAGTATGTACCCCGCAATTTGAGGGAAAAAGTGATATATCTTTACTTCGGACGTGCCTCCACCGGCACGCCTCGCACGCCCCCCGCAGGCCGCAACCCGCCCCGCGCGGCGGTCCCCCCCCCGCGCGGGAGCCGGGACGATCCCTGCCACACTGGGTATAGAGAGGTCCCATGGTATAGACTCTCGTGGGCTGTCCGCCCCGCCCCCACGCCCCACCTGCCCTGACTGCACAGGTGCCCCGACGAACGGCGACCACAAAGCGGGGGACACCGCTGCGCGTTGGGCGCTGCGCCGGCGGTACTTTATATGCCTAACCCCGCATTATTGAAAAAAAATCAAAAAACAAGGCTCGCCCTTGGCGCTCTTGGCCCTCTCGCTCCCCTCTTCCCCTCTTGTCTCTCTCGCACCATCCAGGGAGGCTGCCACTCTAAAAAGCTCTCGAGAGAGATTTTGTTGTTGAAAGCTCGGTAGGGATGGCGGATGCAGCTTGCTGCTTGCAGGAAAAAAGATGGATTTGGACAGGAACGTTTTTTTCACACAACACTAGGCACGGGACTGGCGCGCACTGGCACTAACACAGGTACACCGGCGCACAAAATTCTTTGTTCACTGCCTTCAGCTGGGGCAACGCGCCGAGCCCAAATCACTGTGACAGTCGTGATTTCTTGTTGGTCTTCAAAAATCTCTCTCTCCAACGCGCAACGGGGGATGGGAGAACGCTGAACGCACGCCGCCACCACACAGGGATTTATTGATTTATTTAAGGGAGGAGAGTGTGATGCAGCCGTCGCCCACCCTTGGGCGCCTGCTTCTTCCTATCTCTCTTCGCAGTTTCTCGCCAGCAACCTATTTTCTTCCTCGGCGGCGCGCGTTTTTTTTTACTGTCGTTGCTGTCTCTCCCTTCTCGACTGTCTGTGCTTGCTTGTGCGTCTTGGGTGCGGGGTTGTGTTTTTGTGTGAAGGTGCTTGTGCGTCTTGGGTCTGGGGTTGTGTTTTTGTGTGAAAGCTGCGCGAGCACATGCTGGCTTGCGCCGCACTGCGGTACAAGGTGGGCTTGGTCTACCGGTACCATGGCAATGCCGCTGAGACTGGTGAGTACCTGTACGACCCGAACTACACGCCGACGCGGGACATCGAGCAAGTGGTCCACACGCTAAGCGCAATGTTCAAACCGACCTCTGTCGAGCCTGAGCTCAGGCAGGCAGGGGCTGTAAGGTAGTGAAAGACCTTCCCTGGGTCTGTCACTCTGTCTCTCACACCCTCACTGTCGTCGCCCGCGTGGTTATTGTTTCTTATCACCCTACCGTAGGGTACCGAACTTAAGGTAAGGTAGCTTGAGTTAGGGAGCTCAAACTACTTTAAGTTCGGTACCCTACTCGAGTACGGTACTGTGAAGGTGGTAGCGATGAGCTCACTATAGCTAGAGCTCACACTAGAGGCCGTCATCGCATTCGCCCTGGGACCCAGCGCTGACTTCTGACTGTCGATGCTGTCTATCCCTTTCTCGACTGTCTGAGCTTGTGCGTCTTGGGTCCCTGCTTGTGTTTTTGTGAAGGTGCAGCCGGCATTCCCTTGCCAGGCCTTCTACCGCTGCCGCATGGCGGCACCCTTGCTCCTCGGCAGCATCGCTGTACCGGTGCTCTCGACCGGTGGCGGAGATGACGCACCGGTGCTCTCGACCGGTGGCGGAGACGATCGCGACTATATTGTCCTCTCGCAAGTCGGTGGGCGCGAGGCTTGCCACGAGGCGTGTGTGGCGGAGAACGCGACTCTCGCCTGCATTGACACTGATATTGAGACATATCGCGTCTCGCAGCTGCTTCGGCACGCGCCTGGTCGCGTCGGCGACGCATGGCTCGCTGCGTGCAGCACGGAGTACGACAACTGGGCGCCGGGTCAGCCGTCCGATGGCGACTGCAATACCGTCGACCAAAGGGGCCGGTGGCACGCCGTCGACTGCCTTAGCGAGCGGCAGTGCCTCTGTGAGCGCAGCGGCGGCGTAGACTATGAGAGCGAGGCGTGGCGAGAGCTGGCCATCTTCCTGGCTGCGAATGGGCTCTGGTCTGCGCTGCTGTTCACCGCCTTCTTGCGCTGGCTTCGCGAGTCGAAGCGACGAAGCCAGGCCAGCCTTCCCAGCGGCGGCGGCAGCCGGAAGACGCGCTTCTCCGTCGCCGCGCGCCTGCGCAGCGCCACCCGGGTCGGCCGGTCGCTGCGTGCTCGCGTCCAGGGGCTGCTGATCACCGTCGGCGTCATCGTCCTTTCGTGGGCCTTTTTGCCGTCGCTCATGTTCATCTTTGGGTGGTGGCCGCGACGGCTGGCGGGCTCGTGCTTCGTGTGGCTCCACTTTGCGATGCTCGGCGTCTCGTCCATCGGTCTCGCGGTCCGCCCCGTGGACCACGCCGTCATCCGGTACATCTCTTTGTTTGCGAGCGTCGTCGCCTCTGCCCTCGCCGGCCTGCTCCTCTACGCCTCCGTCTCCGGGCTCGACGACCCGACGCTGCGGATCTGCTTCTTCATCGGCGGCCTGGCCGCGCTCACCTTTTGCCCGATCTTCTACCACGCCTACTACGTCTCTCGCACGCGGCCTCGCGCCGCGTGGCGGGGCATCTGGCTCGGCTGCCGCCTGGCGCACGGTGCGATCGGGGCGATGGTGCTAGTCTACTTCACGCTGGCGGCGCTGCTGGACCAGAAGCTGGTGCCCGACTGGTGGCCGTTCGCCACCTCCACCGACCTCCTCCAGCACCCCGACGGCATCCCAATCATCTCCTACTCGGTCTGTGCCCTCCTCTGGTCGGCCGTCACGACGCCGCGCGCGCGCGGCGCGGCCCTCGCGTGGGTGGCGCGACTCGGCTCGACGGCGGAGGAGCGGAGCGCGGCCGTGGTCGCCGGGCTTTGCTCGCACGCCAAGCTCTCCACCTCGCAGCTGCTCCCCTCTGCCGAGGAGAACTTCCGCGTCGTCTCCTTCGACAAGCTGCGCGCGTCCGACTTCGACCTCTCGCGGCCGAGCCAGGTGCAGGACCACTCGCACAAGGCGGAGCTCGGGATGTGCGACGCCTTCCTCTCGCACTCGTGGCACGACTCACCCACCGCAAAGTGGGACGCCCTCTGCCGCTGGGCGAGCGACTTTGAGAAGGAGTCGGGCCGCCCGCCGCGCGTTTGGTTCGACCGCGCCTGCATTGACCAGGACAAGCTGGCGGAGAGCCTCGCCTGCCTGCCCATCTTCCTCGCCGGCTGCGCCAAGCTGGTCGTCCTCGCGGGCCCGACGTGGCCCTCGCGGCTCTGGTGCGTGATCGAGCTCTTCACCTTCCAAAAGATGACGAGCGGAGCGCAGCTCGACCGCATCTCCGTCATCCCGCTCGTCGACGGCCAGGGCACGGACGCGCGCAAGCGCTCGCTGGAGCGCTCCATCGGCGCGCTCCGCTCCTTCGACGCCGAGACAGCCACCTGCTTCAAGCCGGAGGACCGGGAGGCGATGCTCTCCGTGATTGAGGCGAGCATGGGCTCCTTCGGCGAGTTCAACAGTTGGGCGAAGACGGTCTTCGAGCACCGCCGCCTCTCCGACCGGAGGGCCATCGAGCTCATCTCGTCGCGCGTCCCGTCCGGCTCGCAGCGCGCACTCAGCCGGATGACGCGCGGCCTGCGCGGCAGCATCACCGGCTTCTTCCGCATCGGCGCGCGCGGCCTCTCGCGCGGGCGGAGCACCGGCGCAAAGGTGGCGTCGCGTTCCACCGCCCCTGGCGGCGTGCTGCAAGAAGCCGGCGGAGGAGGAGCATGCCAGCAGCTGCATGAGTCGCGAGATTCGGAGGAGCTGCGGAGAGAGCTCTCGCTGACGATAAAGGTGGTACCGCGGCGCGGCTCGTGCCCGTACTAGAGGACTGTCCAATGCAGCAACTTCGCATGTGTATTAAATTTAATTACATTTTTATACCATCGAAGCAACAAGCATGCATCGGCGCGGTGGAGCAGGAGTGAAAAGTCCAACGCGCTCGTCGGTGACGGTGCCCCCGGAGATTTCGCCGCGCTCGGCGAACCTCGACAGCGGCACAGCGCCCCTTCGGTGCGGGCACCGGGCTGGCCAGGGCATGCGCCATGCACAGCTCTCTTTGCGCGCCTGAAGCCTGGAGAGCAGCTCCTCTGCTGCTCACACGCTCCGCACAGTTGGCACAGCCTACTGTGCGGCTGCCACAGCTGTCACAGCGATGGGCTCGCCCTCACTGGCCCTCAGTCACTTGTGCTGCGGCTTGTGTGAGGGCGTAGCGACAGCCGACACTGCTCGCGGCGACTGCCGGCACACTGTGTGAGACCATGGGTGTGAGGTAAAACCACGCTACCAGCGCTTGGTCACATCAGCCCTGAGGTCATATCCTTCTCCTCTGTTGATGGTAACACTTGTCTACTCGCTGGAGCCGAGCAGGAGGGCCCGGCGCACAACCCCTAGTCAACTCCCGGTCCACACCCCGTAGACTCTAGAGCTCAGAAGCTGGGCTTATAGTCGATCTGCCTCGACGACTTGTATTCAACCTGTCCCATGCTCTCCGCCTTCTCCGTCAAGGACGCGGCCTTGGTCTCCAACCAGTCGCCGCCGTCGCCGAAGACGCCCACGCCGTTTAAGAGGAAGAGCCCCACTGCGATGGCGCCCAAGATATTTGGCGCAGCAGCGAGCGCGCCTCCGAGTTCGGGCGCAGAGTCAGGCGCTGGCGGCGGGCTACCGAGCTCAGCCATGGACTTTGCGCGTAGCATGTTGTCCGTCTCCGCAAGCGCGTCCAGCTTGGCATCCGCCGCCGCCAGCGCCTCGTCAATGCGCCGCTGCCGCTCGCCAGGTCCGCTGGCGTCAGTCCGGACTAACTTGCCGTCGGCGTCGTAATAGTCGAGACGCGGTGGCGCGACGCGTGGCAATGTTCGGGCTGCTCTGGCGTCCCGCAGCTGCGGCGGCGCGACGAAGCAGATCGTGAGCTGGATGAAAAGCAACATCGCTGCGCAAAAGAATTCTGAAGATACAAGCCTCTCTCACAGCACACTGGCACGACAAGGGCGCGGACTGGCGCGGACTGCGCAAAAGAATTCATCAACTGAGCGAACCGCGGTCCGGGTCTCGCCACCGCGGCTGCGGGGTTGATAGAGCAGGCCGGCTGCGGCTCCTGATGTACCTCCGCTTTTGGGTGGCGGTGCGCGCGCTGCCGACGGCGCTCGCCGGCGTTCGCGGCGCTACGGCGCTCGCGGCGCGCTCGTGGCGTTCAGGGCGGCTCGCGCGCGCACACACACACACACACACATGCATGCATGCATGCATGCATGCATGCACAGACCTGGCACAGACACACAGCCTCTTCCCTCAAGAGGCAGACGCCCAAGCAAGGGTGGCGACGGCTAGCACCACACTCCACAAAAACTCTTGCCCACACTCCTCTCCGTCGCTGTTGTCTTTCTTTCGGTGTTTAGTATCGGTGTTAGTCAGCGAGATTACAGGATACAGCGCAGCAAAAATGAAACCCTGGCATGAAGCGTGAGGGCACCGGGTTTTGCCGGCGTGGCTACTATGCGGGATGGGTCGCAGCGGATGCCACCGAGGAGGCCTGCACGGCCAAGTGCCTGTCCGAGCCAAACTGTCACTACGCCGCGATGCTACCCGGCCGCACTTGCAGTCGATACGGTAGCCTAGCGGGAGACTGCGAGGACCGAATAGACGACCGCATCCATGTCTTATATCGGAGGATTCCATGCCCGCCACCATCTCCGCCAGCGGAGCCAGTGCCTCCGCCCCCCTCGGCAGTTCCAGCTCCGTCGACAGAGCCACCGCCAGTACCGTCCCCAGATCCGCCGCCAGAGCCGCCTCCCTCCCCCATCCCTCTTCCATCGCCGTCGCCAGAGCCGCGACCATCGCCGATGCCCGTGCCACAGCCGAAGGCGAAGTGGAAGTAGGGCGCCATCACCGGCACGCCGAAGAGCCGCTCGCCGAGCGCCTCCATCACGTGCGGTGACGCAACGAGGCCGCGCGCGTCGAGCCCGAGTGGCCCCGCCTGCCAGATGGTGCAGCCAGACGCGACAAGGCCATCGGCCGCCGGCCAGCGCCACCAGCCCACCAGCGGACCCTGCGCTTCGTACACTCCGCACAGCCCGAAGAAGAGCATACCGCTGAGCAGAGGAAAGGCCCACGAGCGTTCGTCGGTCAGGCGGCGGGCACAAGTCACGCCCGTGTAGACCCACGGAATGTACCAGAAGACCGAGTTGGCCGAGGAGCACGTCGAGACGTTGACAATCCCACTCGCGTGGCAGTGCGTCCCTCCCAACCGCAGGCTGAGCTGCTCGGTCAGGAGGCCAAGCGCGAGCGACGCGGCGGCGAGCGCAAGCTTCCATGGCGAGCCGCGGGTGTGCGCGAGCACCAGAAGCACCAAGGTGAAGACCAGCACATCCAGCGAATGGACCGAGCCCGGAAACTCGTCCACCGTCATAGGCGTCTTCGGGCTATACACACCCCACATTCGTCGCGGGGGCGCGGCGTAGAGGCGCTCCGCGCCGGCGACGCGAGCTGCGCGCGCGCGTGCTGCGTCGCGAGGAGCGCGTAGCGCGAAGCCTTCATGTGCATAAACGCACCGACTCGTCCTTCACAAGTTGGACTGGATCTTCACAAGCTCGTTGGTCGACACAGGCGCGGACTGGCACGTGTTTATACCAGCACCCTTCCCGGCACCTGAAAACCGTAAAAGGCCAGTGTGGCTGTGCAGTGAGCAGTGTGTTTTTCGCGGGTCTGTGTGTGATCTGTGATCTGTGAGGGTCCGCCCGCAGGCGCATTTTGTATACCGAGGCGGTGCCCGGTGCCGAGCGCAGGCCGGAGCCCACAGGTCGGACCTTGAGACAGCATTGTAGATCCCTGGGCGAGGGTGGTGGAGAGGGCGGTCCGGCGGCGGGTCTGTGTGTGGACACAAACATGCACGCACTGGCGCGGTTGTGTTTGGTTTGTTCGGTTGTGAAGCGCGTGCGATGCCGATATGCAATATGGCCATGCAGCGAGATGGCCACAAGGGCTGGGCTGTCGTTCGAACCTTACTTAAGATAACACAGCCTAAAATGAGAACATCTCTCATTTTTGACATTTCACCAGGCCGATTTCACAACGGCTTGGACCCGGGCCCTACCCACCGCCATGCAGCGCAGCTGTGGTGTGCTCCTCACTGCCAGACACCTCCTCATCGGCGTGCGAGCGCCACGACAAATAAACGAGCCAACCGAAGCTCACGGCCGCAACGAGGCTGATTCGCAGCTCAGGCGGCGTGAGCGTGAAGTTGACCAGGTGCAGCGCCGGCCAGATGCTCCAGTACGTGGTGAGCACGTCGTGGGCGTCGGCGCGGTAGCGGGCTAGCCCGTCGAGAAAACTACCCTCGCCGAGCACTACGCTCTTGAAGGGGTAGTAGAGCGGCAGGTATATCAGCGGAACGTGCACGAGGCTGTCCGCGAGCACCTTCTTCAGTCCGGTGCGCAGATCCTGGCCGCTCCCAAACAGCACCGTAAATGCTCTGTTGTAGATCAGATGCTGCCCCACACCGAGGTAGAGGCCAGAAAAGGCGGCGAAGGCGGCGTTGCGCGGCCAGTCCACGCCAGCCGTGGACTCGACCTGCGTCTGCGCGATATAGTCGGAGGCGGAGCCCTTCACTGTGCAGACGGCGGCAGCCGACGCAGCCTGGTATGAGGAGTAGAGTGGCGTGAGGACGGCCTTTGAGTGCCGGCTGTGTGCTGTGCTGGGCCACAACTCTAACACACCGGCGCCGCTTTCGCGAAGGCGCGGAAGCCGCGCAAAGCGAACATCAGAAGGGCCGCGTGCGGGGCCTGCGCTTGGCACTGTAGGTGAACAGGCGTTATTGCGCCTGGGGGGGGGGTCGGCCGCTTGTTCCCCAGCTAACCAGAATTTTCGCAGTTCAAGAAAAGAATTTTACGACTTAGCGACAAGGGAGAGCACGACGAGAAGGGGGCGACCGCGAGGTGGCACGAAGGTTGAAGCGAGGCGACCGCACACAGAATACATGTAGGCCTTGCTAAAAGTTGGTTTTCTAAAAACGTGTGACACAAGTTCGACAAAAACAAGAGGAAGCAGAGATCACAAGACAGCTCCGGACGCGGCTCTCGGGAAGCGGAGGGAGAGCAACCCGCACAGCACCGACACCACGCATAATAGGTAAAAGGGCAGGTGGTAGTCCACCGGCCACGGCCACGCCCTCGCGCCGCCGCTCTCCAAGGGCTCGCCAGAGTGGCGGAGGGCGAGCGACCACACGGAGCCGACAGCGATGGGCGCGGCGGCGCGGCCGGCGGCGAGACACGAAGAGGCGATGCCATTCCACAGGCCCTACGGTCATTCGCCGCCGCGGAGAGTGACGACGCGGAGATTGGGGAAGCGGGCCAGCGGTGGTCGTCTCGCCCGCGGCCTCTCGCCCACGGCGAGGGCGGCGTTGAGGAGCACGGCCAGCGCGGGGAAGCCGAGCGGGCCTCCGAGGGATCGGACGAGGGAGATGGCGACGACAGAGGCCCACAGGGGGAGGGCGCCGAGCCGCTGGGCGGAGGTGAGCTGGGGCATCAGCGAGTTTGAGAAGAAGTAGAGGCCCGCGGCGGCGCGGTAGACGGCAGCGGGCCCGTGGCGCGCGGCGAGGAAGGGGAAGGAGAGCGAGCCGGCGATGAGGCCTAGGCGCACAAGAGGGCGCAGCCTGCCGCTGCCGCCTCTCTCTCAGAGCCTCTCTCACAGCCTCTCTCTCACAGCCTCTCTCTCAGAGCCTCTCTCTCACAGCCTCTCTCTCACAGCCTCTCTCTCACAGCCTCTCTCAGAGGGGCAGCCGTGTCAAGGCGACGGGGGAGGGGTCGGGGCACGGGGACGGCGAGGCGCCTAGCGAGAGCGGCGACAGGGCGAAGCCCGTCTGGTCGGTGGTGAGGCCGAGCCCCTCTGGCCGCGGCGCCGACGCGAAGAGCGGAAAGAGCTCGGCGCCTGGGCAGCCGAGTTGTGGCAGTCAGGCCGCGGTTGCCTCGGCGGCGGGAGAGGGGAGCGGGAGGGGAGAGGGCGCAGGGGAGGCGCCTCCCGCGACGAGGAAGCCGTAGCCGCAGTGGGCGGCGCACAGCGCGCCCATGCCCGCACTGCACCGCAGGCCTGGGGCGGAGCCCCTCCCGCTGCCAGGAGAGGGCGGAGGAGGCGCGGCCGGCGCGGCGGAGGCGCCGAGGAGGAGTGGCGCGCCCAGCCCTGCCGCCTCCGCGGACGGGGCGGAGGTGTGCCGTGGCGGCGGCGGCGAGGCATCGCAGCCCTCCGCCGCCCCTCCACCGCCGCCTGCCGCCGCCCCGCCGCCGCCGCCGCCGCCGCCGCCGCCACCGCCGCCGCCCTCTGCCGGCGTGAGAGGGGCCGGGCTAGGCGGCTGGGCGCTCGGGGAGGAGGAGCATGTGGCTCGCGGGGGCAGCTCGAGCCAGGCGAGAGAGACGGCGCCGCACATGCAGACGGCCGACGCGGCGGCGCACGGAAGGAGGTACGGGTACGTGTCGAGCGGCGACTTGCGGACGGCGGGGTCCCAGGCGGCAGGGCGGGAGAGGAGGGCGCCGAGAAGCGGCCCGAGGCCGAAGGCGAGCGAGAAGACCAGGCCGAGCAGTGAGAAGGCGCGCGCACGCTCCGCCGGCCGAGTCACGTCGCAGGCGGCGGCGGCGGCGACGCTGAGGTTGCCGTGGAGCGCTCCGGAGAGGCAGCGGGCGCCGATGGCGAAGGGGAGCGAGCGCGAGACGCCCAGAGCGAGTGTGGCCGCGGCGAGGGACAGCTGGCCGAGCAGCATGACGGGCCGCCGGCCGAAGCGGTCAGAGGCGTGGCCCCAGGCCACGTTGGCCGGGATCTGCAGCAGGTTGTACGAGGTGCCCAGCACGCCGACCCACATGCCGACGCTGCTCGGCGGCACGCCGAAGCCGGCCACCATGAATGGCAGCATCGGATAAAGCATCACGGAGACGAGGCCGTCGCCGAGCCGCACCAGGAGAAGGATGAGGACGGCGCGCCAAGGGAAGGGCGGGTCTGCCTCGGCAGCGCCCTCGGACGGGTCGTCGCCTGCAGCACACGTGCTTGGCATGGCGAGCAGAGATCGTCTGCCAGTGCATCAAACGTGAGGACGCTCGTATCGGATAGCACTCGGTTCTCGGGCTCCGCAAAGAATAAGAAAAACGCCGAACAGGGCTCTCTAGCCCGTAGCCCGATGCCGATCATCCGGCTCGCTGGGTGCGCTTCTTAGCTCCCTGGCCCTGGATGTGAGGTTGATGACTGCACTCCAAGTGCTCCAAGTGCTCCAGGTGCTCCCAAGTCCAGTGCTCCAAGTGCTCCGCTGCGCGCTGGGTGCGCTTCTTAGCTCCCCGGCCCTGGGCGCTGGGGGTGAGGCTGGCGACTGCACTCCAAGTGCTCCAAGTGCACCGGCGGTTAAACCGAGGCGGTGAGACTGGAACTGAGCCCTGGCCTCGACACCTCGACACCAAACCTCGACACCGACTCGACACCTCGACAACCCATGCCAACTCGACAAACTCGACACCCCTCGACACCCCTCGACACCATCTAGGCTGAAACCATGCTCGTCCGTGTCAAGGTGCCAAACTCGACACCTCGACACCCCTCGACACCCCTCGACACCCCTCGACACCGCTCGACACCGCTCGACACCGCTCGACACCCCTCGACACCTCTGATGATCCTAACACAGCAGAGACGTAGACCCATTGGAGTCACAGAGTTAGAAATCAGGGTTGCAGCAGCAATCAAACTTGGCTGGCAGTACTTTCATCCCTGAGTTGCAGCCTCTCAAGTTCTAGCTCAAGTTGCAGCTCAGTTGCACCCCTGTTGATGCAGCAAACATGGCAGTACTCAGGTAGCCCTTAGGTGCTGCACAGCACCTTGTACAGTGGCAATGAATCCTCACACCAGTGAGCTTGTGCCATGAGTGCAGACCTGTGGTCCATTGCGCTTTGTGCACTGGCGACGCTGCAACGGCGACGCTGCAGCGGCGGCGACGCTGCTGCGATGGGGTACTGTAGCCCTTAGCTGCTGGACAGCACCTTGTGCAGTGGCAATGTCCACTGACTCATGGCACCAGCCTTGTGCCATGAGCGCTGTGGTCAGTTGCGCTTTGTGCGCCGGTGACGCTGCAGCAGCGACGCTGCTGCAGCAGCGACGCTGCTGCGGTGCTGCGCCTGCACAGCACCTTGGTGCACAGTGGCAATGACTCCCGGCACTTGATGTCCTCAAATGTCCACAGAGAGTATACTGGTTGTGCTCAGGTTGTGCTACATCAACAGGGTGCAACTGAGGCTGCAACTAAGGGATGAAACAGCTTTGCAACTGCTGCCCAACTTTTGTTGTATGTTGATGGGCTGCAACTGCATCCACCTGCCACCTTGGACACCTCGATGCCTCAGACGCCTCTTGACAACACTCGACACCCGCTCGACACCCGCTCGACACCCGCTCGACACCCTCGACACCCTCGACACCCTCGACACCCCTCGACACCCCTCGACACTCCTCGACACGGACAAGCATGGTTTCAGCCTCGACAGGCCTCGACAGGCCTCGACAGGCCTCGACAGGCCTCGACAGGCCTCGACACCTCTATCCCTCGACAGCAGCTCGACACCCTCGACACCGGGCCTCGACACCTCGACACCAGGGCTCAGGACTGGAATTTCGTAGCTCACTAAACACGTTAATCGTTATGCTCAACAAGCAAAGTACTTCGACCTGACCAGCCCCCCAGCAGAGTGTGTACTGCCGGCCGCGCAGGCCCCTTGCGCGTGTACTTGCGGCCGGAACCGGAACCCGTCGATCAGAACCCTCACATCTCCCGAGCCTCCTCGAGCGCCGGCAGCGCCCACTACAGCCCCTGCGCTGCCCTGGCCCGCGCCCTCGGCGGCCTCGCCGTCGTCCGCCGCGCCTGCACCGGTGTCGGCAACGGCATCCTCGTCCGCGTCCGAAGCAGCGTCGCCGTCGACGTCGCCGCCGTCGCTGCCGTCGCCGCCGACGCCGACGTCGTCGAGCTGGTACCCAGCGGAGCGATACAGGGAGAGCCGCTTCGATGCGAGGCGGGCGCAGTACGCACCGCCGTCGACCACGTCGACAACAAGCGGCTCATTGGCCGCGCCGCCGCGCATGATGCGGCCCACGCTCTGCTCCACGTTCGCCCGGGGCGTCGCGAGCACGAGCGTGTCGAGCGCGGCGATGTCGAGGCCCTCGCTTGACATCCCATAGGTTCCCAGCAGCACGCTCTTCTCCGCCGCATCCCGCAGCTGGCTCGCCCGCATGCCGCCCAAGTAAAAGTCGACGCTGACCGCGCCGACGGCCGCCGCGCCCGCCGCCGGCTGCGAGTCCGCCGCCGGCTGCGAGTCCGCCGCCGGCTGCGTGTCCGCCGCCGGCTGCGAGTCCGCCGCCGGCAGCCGCGAGGCCGCCGCCGGCGAGGCCGCCGCGGCCGCTTCGAGCACGAGCGGCTGCAGCGAGAGTAGGTGGGCCCTCCGGTCGCTCAGCACGAGCACCTTCCTGCCAGACGCCGCGAGCGCCGCGACCAGCGCAGCGACGCGGCGCGAGCGCCGCTCGTCCTCCGCAAGGGCCGAGACGATCTCGACGCCGCTGCCGCCGCCAACAGCGTCGCCGCCGCTGCCACGCAGCCGCCGCACACGCACCCTCCTTGCGGCGGCTGCACCACGCGTGGCGCTGAATGCGGTGGCGCCCATGAACCAGTGCAGAACCTGGGTCAGGCCGTCGGAGCGCGTGGCGGTGGCGGAGAGCCCGAGCAAGCGGCAGCCGACGCCGCCGACGCCGAAGAGGAGCGAAGAGAAGGAGCGCGCGCAGATGTGGTGGCACTCGTCCACCACCACGTGACCAAACCCGCCGAGCGAGTACTCGTCACCTCGGCGCGTGAGGGACTGCAGCATCCCCACCACGTCCGTGCCGTGCACCTCGGCGACGTTCTGCTTGATCCGCCCGATGCGCGCCTCCGGCAGAAAGTGGCGGATCCGCTCGATCCACTGCTCCACCAGGAACTCCTTGTGCACGACGACGAGCGTCCTCTGCCCGACGTCGGCGACGAGCCGCAGCGCGCACACCGTCTTGCCGCCGCCGCAGTAGAGGCTGAGGATGCCGCCGCCCTCGCGATCGTACGCCTCGCGCATGGCTCGCACCGCCTGCTCCTGCAGCGGCGTGAGCGAGCCCCGGAAGATCAGCGTCGCCGCCTCGCCCGCGCACAGGGCTGGCCTGGCCGCCTCGCGCAGCGCGGGCTTGAGCGGAAAGTGGCGCGGCACAGAGATCAGGTGCTCCGTCTCGCGAAACACGGCAAAGGGCGGCGGCGCGCCCCATCGCGGGTTGCGCGCACTCTGCTGCACAGTCAACGCAGCTCGCAGCTCGGCGAGGTCCTTCTCCCCGAGCAGAGCCTTTGCGAGCCTCAGGCCTCCGAGCCCGGCGCGCCCGGTTGCCGCCGGCTGCTGCGCCGATTCGTCCTCGTCGCTGTCCGCGCCGCGCAGCACGTTGCTGCGTCTCTTGGGCATGGCTCTAGCACCCTGTGTGGCCGGGGACCGGGAGGCGTGGTAAGTCTCGTACGGCGCGCGCACACGACTGGCTACCGTACGCGTCCCAGTCAGAGTATCCGCCGCACAGCCCGCCCCCCGCCCCAAGGCCTCGCAACGATTGCTGCAGCGCGTCCTTCAATGGCCGCGCTGCTGACAACGCTGGTCTGCCTCGTCTTGGCGGCGACAGCGGCAGCGCCGCCGCCGCGCTACGCCGTTGAGGTCAGTCGCACCGGCCCTGGAGGGATGAACGTGCTCTTCGACTCGGTCCACCACCCAGAGACGACGGACTTTGCGCACAACTTTGGGCCGTCGCACGTGCGGCTGCTGGACGGCGTAGACGCGCTAGTGATCCGGAGCTGCGTCCACCGTCCCGGCTGCTCGACACCGGGGAATCCCGACGTCGTCACGCTGGTCAAGCGCACGGTCACGGGGCCGGTGGACCTGAGCAACCTGCAGAGCGAGTTCGAAAAGAATTCGCTAGACAAGGTGATTTTGCGGCCACAGGGCGCGGACGAGCAGTGCGGCGTTCAGGATCCTCGGATCACAGTGGACCGTCGCACAGGAACGTACCTCATGGCCTACACAGCGTACGGTGACGGAACTGCTAACCCGACCGCCTGCAGCAATGCCACGGCCTGTGGCCCGACCTGGCCGCACTGCTCGCGCTGCTGCAAATCGACGAAGACGAAGGTGGTCATGTCAAAGACCCCGGAAGTGGCGTCGTCCTGGGTCCGCGTCAACCGCACCGGAGACGTAGGCTTCGACGCCAAATCGACCGCTACGCTGGTGCGCGATACACCGCCTCACTTCCAGTGGACCGGCACCGGCTCGGTGCGCTCGTGGCAGTCGAACGACTTGCTCCACTGGACCGCGGCGGAGGACGCAATCGTGGGCCGGCCCGGCAGCTTCGACCCAGGCTACTGCGAGGCGGGCGCTCCACCGGTGCGCCTCGCCGACGGCAACTACTTCACGACCTACGACACTATCATTGGCAGTCAACGGCATGGCTGGGCTGCCGGTTGGGTAGTGCTGAACGGCAGCAACCCGCGCGAGGTGCTCCAGCGGGGTGGCGAGCCGCTCGTCGAGCCGACTCGCCCGTGGGAGCTGCAGACGCCGCCGCAGTGGAATTGGACGCAGGCGGTCCAGGAGGGCGGGGTGCCGATGATTGGCGCGACCAACGGGCTCATGCCATTAGGTGGTGATGTGTTTTTGGCTTGGGCGTGCGCCTCTGATTCGGTGGTGGAGGCGTTCGAGGTGCGGGTGACGAAGTGGTAAAGAGTTTGAAAACAAAATGTGGGCACGGTCTCCACGGATTGACTCTAACACACAAACCCTCTCACTCACACCTCACAGAGTTCAGACACAGATTCACATGTTCAGACAAAGGTTGACAGAATTGGCACGGTAAAAAAAGATTACGGAGTGCACACATCGCCTTTGCTATGACCATCAACAAGGCGCAGGGCCAGACGCTCGAGCGCGTGGGCATTTACCTTCCGGAGCCTTGCTTCACGCACGGGCAGCTCTTACGTGGCCGCGTCGCGAGTGGGCCTACCCGACCACCGGTTCGCCGTCCCGATCGACAAAGATACCGACACCTTCCGCACATGCAACGTGGTCTTTCGCGAGGCGCTCACCTCAGGAGCGACCCGAACACAGCCCGCCGCACCCCGCCGAGTTTGATCGTCACAAAACAGATTCCTGCCGGATTGCTCTTGTGTCGCGTCAAACTTCGCCGCCTCAAGAAAAACCAAGCCCGCATCGAATTCTTTTCCCTGTTTTTGCTGACATTTCGCCGTCATAAATAAATACAACGGACATCCCAAGCTAGGGCTGGGTCGAGGACAGACACGTCCCCACCTTTGCAGGACATTTCGCCGTCAGCCAGGTTCGCTCCGTCTGGAATTTTCCTGGTTCTTTATCTGCTGTGAGAGAGAGTTCTTTATCTGGACGCCGGCTCTTGTGGCGAGGACGATGGCTTCTAAGGAGGCCGTCGTCTGCGCCTTGTCTGTCGTGTGAATCGTGCGTGTGCGAGGTGCTTTATTTTCAAATTCTTTATCTGGGAAGCCCACCAGCATTTCGCACCTGGGTGGCGAAGCCCGGCTGGGGCTCGCCTGCTATGCTCGCTCTCTCAGCCCTCTCTACCTCTTTCCTAGTCCCCGCGCTGCGCGCCAGCCCGCCGCTCTCCTCGCTTCCAGCGCAGTCCGCCGGCCTGTCGCCCGCGCCGCCCGCTGTCGTTGCAGAGGCGGCTCGCCGCGGCGGTGGTGTGGTGCGGATGGAGGAGACGGAGGGGCCAAGCGAGACGCTACAGGCGCTCGGCGTGGCCGGCGGCCTGACGGCCTTCTGCTTTGCCTTCTTCTACGCGCTGACGAGCGCCGGCGTCGACGATGTGGTCGCCGGCAACCTCTTGCTCGTTGCGCTTGCCGCTGCGGGCGCCGGCCTCTTCTTCTTCGACGGCGGCGCGACGCAGGCCGCCCTCGAGGCGAGCGCGGTGCAGCAGGTTGCAAACGAGGAGGGCGATCTCATGGAGCAGGCGCCGCTGCTTCCGCCCGCGAGCTTGCCCGCGGCGGCGGTCGCCACTTCCACAGCGGCGGCGGCAGCCTCGCTCGAGTCGGAGGGTGTGCTCTTCGTCGACGGACTGCTCGAGGCGTCGGAGGCTGCGCGGCTCCGCAGCCACGTCGAGGAGTGGCTGGAGACGGCGAAGACAGAGGCGGCCGACGACACCGCTCCGGAGCAGCGCTTTGGAGGCGTCCTCTCCCGCGCGAGCAGGCGCCGCAGCAGACGAGCCTAGCAGACGAGCCTAGCAGACGAGCCTGCCGCCGCCGCAGAGCACTCTGCCGCGCCTCGCCCCATCCCCGCCCCATCCCCGCTCCCCACTGTCCGCGGGTACGCGTCAGGGACGTGTCAGGGACGCGTCAGTGCGTGAGGGACGTGCGATGGACCACTCGCAGGTATGACCTCTACCTCCCGCTCGACCCGCCCGTCGCCTCCGCTCTCGAGGCTTGCGCTGCCCAGCTCGCGCCGCTGCTCGAGGAGGTGAAGATTGGCCGCGCTTAGCCGAGCTTGGCCGAGAGACTAGCCGAGATTATCCCCCCCCCTCCTCTCGCCGCCGCTCGAGGAGGCGCTCGGCAAGAGGAGTGTAGGGCGCGTCGTTGATCAGTGTGCGGCCCTGGTGACTGGAGGCGTGGAGACTTGCTGGTGACTTGCTGGTGACTTGAAGCTCACCGACGGACCGCAGGTGCTCGGCGAGGATCCGGAGCTGTTCGAGCTCTCTGCCCTCATCTCCGACCGCGGCGCCCCGCGCCAGCCCGTCCACCCAGACACGGGCTTCACGCCGCAGACGGCGCTGCTGACCGCCTTTGTCGCGCTGCAAGAGGTGACGCCCGACCTCGGCCCGACCTTCTTCCTCGCGGGCACACACACGCGCGCCGCGCACGAGCGGTTCAACGGCGAGCCCGGCGAGAAGCTGCAGCTGCTCCGCTCCTCCCCGCGCCGCATCGGCACCCTCCCGGCCGGCGCAGCGACCCTCTTCGACTCGCGGCTGCTGCATGGCGGCGGAGAGAACGCGCAGGGCCGGCGCGTGCTCTTCTACTTCACATTCAAGGCGCGCGAGTCACCGCGCCTCCCCAAGGGCTCGCTCCTCGCTTCGCTGCGCTACCGCCATTCGCTGCGATCCCTCCTCGGCGCGCCGGCCGCGGCCGCGTGAGGACTGCATGCACGCCCCGTCGGGAGGTATATTGACATTGCACGCAGCTAGGGTCCCTTGCGAGCCCGGGGTTGTCTCTCATATCTATCAAAGTCCGTGGGCAGCACTGCGGGTAGTCGTTGATATTTATCGAGTGCAAGTGGCCCCCGCGGCGGAGCCCCGCGCCCGCCGTCCGCGAGCGAGAGACATAGGTCACATAGCCTGTCAGTATGAGATGCATGTGCATCTCTCACGCAGAGCGAGCTCGGGGCCTCGGCGACGACGCACTATCACGTATCCCCGGTATCTCACTGCAAGAGCGCAGTGTGATGAGCTCTTATATAATATAATGGTCTTGCAGATCCAGATGGTAAATAAACAAAAATGGACACTTCACTTTGAGATGGGTAAAAAGGAGCAGGCGGCTTGCGATGGTAAAGTATGTATGTAACTAGTGAGAGGACTCGAGATGGGTTCGAGATTGGGGCGGTCGTGCTTTTCGGCGGTCGTGGAGGTCGTGGAGGTCGTTGAGTGGCGAGTCACGCTCGTGCGGACAGCATCGATGCCGTCACCGGACGCGGCGGCGAGGCACACGGGCGACGGCGTGGCGCGTCGGCAGGCCCACCACGAGCGGATGCGCGACGAGCGCGCTCGGGAAGCCGCCGCGGGCGACGCGGAGCTTCCGCCGGAGGACGACGCGGTCGAGATGGCGAGCGCCGTCCACGTGCTGGACAGCGTGGCGGAGGTGGGCCCGAACTACACTCTGCTGCGCAGCAAGGAGACGAAGGCGAAGCGGCGGAAGCGAAAGCGCGAGGATGCCAGGGCGGCGCTCGACGGCCACACTGTCCTGTCCACCGGATCGCGCCTCGAGATCTTCTGCGACAGCGAGCGGTGGTACCCTGCGACCTACACATGCAGACATGTTGAGCTTCTCGCATGCATCTGATCTCACCCCACGGCTCTGTAACTGTGTCTTAGGCCACACGTACCACCAACCCCGAGATTGATCTTGACAGCACTCGAGGTTGTGTAAGAGCGAGACTCCTCGCCACGTAACATGCATCACAGTAGTCGCCACAAGTACGTACAAGCGCGCAAGCACATCAGCACCTCATGTTCTCCGGCTGGCAGTAGACTGGCTCGGTTTGGGTCCCCACCGAGTCGCAAGAGTGGGAGTTCGAAGCGAGCAAGATCGTCCCGCCCGGCGTCTCTGCTTCTCGAATACCAAAGCCATCCTCGAAAGTTCCATCGGCGAAGGACAGGCGCCGTTTCCAAGGCCGTCTTTCGGTGATGCGACTGGCGTGCCGGTGATGCAACGCCGGTGATGGCATGCCAGTCGCTGCAGAGACGAAGGCGTGAGGATGAGGTGACTTACAACCTCACATCACGACCGCCTCTCCTCTCTTTCTCTCGCTCTCGCTCTCTCCGTCTCGGTCTCTCTCGCTCTCTCCCTGCTCCCTCTCTCTCGTCCAATGCCGCCGGCGACGTTTGGGGGCGACTGCAAATGCAGTGTGCTGGCTGCTTGGCGCGTGTGCAGCTTTCGCATCGCTCTCCGTGACGGTGTCGCTCTCGTCAGTCGTCTCTGTGGTCTCTCCCTGTTTATGTAGGCCAAGACTCTGTGCACACACCGTGCTCTCTTGTGGCGACTGGCGTGTGGGCCTTTTCCAATCAACGTGTTGGAGAGAGAGAGTAGTAATTATTGCGAGCCGCCTTCTTGTGTGGTATTGTATTTCAGGTTTTTAGGTTTTGTTCAGCGCCACATCCAAGACAACGATGACACGGAGTCTGCAGTCCCACACGGCGCACGGCCACGGGGACAGCCAGAGAGGTGTGTGTGAGGCTACTTGCCGCGCGCCAGAAGCGCCCCGAAGCCGAGTAGCAGCGCCACGTGCCACGCGACGGCCAGGCGGTCTCCATGCACGGATTCCACCGCCAGTGCGGCAGCCATCGCAATTTCGTCAGCGACAAGCACCGTGTGCACGATGGCGGCTGATCCCGCTCCATTGCTGCTGCCAAGCGCGGTAGCAACGCCGTATACGTTGAGGAGCATCAATGAGCCCAGGAAAGCCGCGAATCGCCTATGCGAGCATGGAATCGGCGGTGAGGTGCGGAAGTGGGCGGCGGTAATTTGCTGAGCAAACCGAGTATGGCCGTCAGCCTCTCCGCGGTCGTTCGCAACAAGTTCGACGAACGGCCCAACGCCAAACCCGGCAGCGCCAATGGTTAGAGACTCCACAGCAACCCACGTGCTCATCAAAACCACCTCGGCCTTCATTGAGGGTGAGAAGGTCTGAGCCTGCGACTGGAGTGCTGCGACGTCCGACCTGCGGAGGGAGTCGGCCGACGATCTACACGGAAACGAAAAACAAAAAACGCGCCGCAGCATCCCTGCGGAGGGGGTCTGTTGGGACTGGCTGGCCCCTCCCAGATAGGTAGGTATGTTGTTTGGCCCAAAAGGGCCCTGCAATAGGTAGGTACCCCTATTTTCATCTTTTTTCGCTTCGCTGCGCGGCCTGGGGATAGGTAGGTAGGTAGGGCGTTTTGGCACGAGTCAGTCCTCACAGACCCCCTATCCGGGTAGGAGCCGGAACCCTCCAAGAAACCGTGCGGACGCCGGCCCGCGGCGCACCAGGCACACGACGGTCATTGCTGCCTCACTCCGAGCATACACATATGGGCCCTCACGACGACGCGCTGCTCGACCTTCCGGTCCTCCCGACCGGCGAGTGCGCTCGGCTGGTGCAGGGCTGGCTTAAGGCGGCAGGCCGGCCTGCACCAGCAGCCTCAGCGAGCGCGCCTGCCGCCGACAAGGCCTTTGCGCCGCGGCCGGCGCGGCTCGGCCTGGGCGCCAAGCCGCCGCGCGGCTCGGTCTCCAGTGCGGCCGAACTGCGACTGAAGGCCAGTCTGGAGCGGCCAGCGAAGCCAAGGCGCGAGAGACCCGCCACCGCCACTGCCGCCACCGCCACCGCCACCGCCACCGCCGCCCGCAAGCAGCCGCAGAAACGGCCTGCAGCGGCGGCCGAGTCCGAGTCTGAGTCTGACGATGAGGCGGCGGGGCGGGCGTCGCGCTTCAAAAAGAAGGCGGCGAGATAGGTCTGTTCTTGAATGAGTGTCACCGAGTGTGTCTCGGTGCTATTCGATTGTCGATGTCGTGCACCCTTTCTTCCACTGTGAGCCGCACCCATTGCTGTCTATACAGACGAGTGAGACGAACACTTGACAAGAGAGAGTACACGTAGAGCGCGCGCTACTAGCAGCACACATCTGGATCAGCACCGCGGGGCGAGCGGGCAAGTCACTCAAGAAGCGGCTAGCCAAGCGTCAGACAGACAGATACAAGCGCACACAACCACACACACACACACACGCGCACACAACCCCCACGAACAGTCTCGACATCATCACTGGCCGTACCGCGTAACGTGCCGACGAGAGAGAGACGGCACGGCGATGGCGACCGTAGCTATATACAGAATCTCCTATAATTCATCCATCTCCAGTGCGTGCGTGCGCGCGCTCGCGGCGCGTGAGTAGCTACTTGCGCGCGTGCGTGCGTATGTGAGTGTGGCTGCGCGCTGTGTGAGTGTGCGAGTGGCGTGTCGTCTCGCGGCCTCAGCTGCAGTCGATGAAGACGAAGTAGGTGCCTTCCCAAGTGGCGGAGCCCATCAGCTCTACGGAGCCGGGCTCGCTCAGCACCTGCGAGGGACACGGGGCTGGCGGTGGGCTGCAGCACACAAGAGAATCACAAGACCGAGGCAGCTTGCGACTCTGGCGGGCGGCGCCTTGGAGTAGACAGGGCCCGAGTAGGGGCCGTTCGGGACGCCGGAGCTCACCGCCGAGCGGAGCGCGCCTAGGTGCCGGAGGAAGAGGAGTGTGTGGGGCGCCGCCGTTACCACCCCCCCCCCCTCCGTCCATCCCCCCGCCCGTCCCCCTCTGCAGCCGAGGCGAGGCTCGCCGTTTGGCGCGAAGCCCTTGGCCCGCAGCCACGCCTCCTGCCGCCCCTCGGCCACGTGCCTCGCCGAGCGGTAGTTGAGGTGGATGGTGCACGGCACACGCGCCTAGTCGCTCACACAAACTCAGCCACATCTCGACCACATCCCTCGGCCGCATCCCAACCGCATCTCGGCCGCATCCCCTCGGCGGCATCTCGGCCGCATCCCAACCGCATCTCGGCCGCATCCCCTCGGCGGCATCTCGCGCCTCGACCACCCACATGACGGCGCTCGAGGCCGTCTTGCGGTCTTCGTTTGACGAGAGGAGGTACAGCATCCCCGCCCTCCCGAAGTCGCCGAGGTCGAGGAAGCGGTACTGCCTAGGCCGGACGCGTGCTGGACGTGTCCTGCACCGAGCTCGGGCGGGCGGCGGCGTCGTGGAGCCGCCGCCGGTCAAAGTGGCACCGGCCGCCGCGGCGTGGCGCAGCGACAGGCTCCAGCGGCAAGCCGGAGACGGCGCGCGCCTGCAGAGAGAAGGTTCCGGCGAGGTTTGCGAGACGGCTCGGAGGCGCGGCTGTAGCGAGGTCGGGGACGGCGCCTCGACCGGCAAGGGCGCGTGCACCGAGGAGCGACAGTACGGGCAGCGAGGCCGTTGTCCGGGCTGGCGCGAGGTTGCAAAGTAGTGCTCGAGGCAGGCGGCATGGAAGGCGTGGCCGCAGCTGCGGGAGAGGGGAGGGGAGGGAAAGAAGGTGGAGAGGGAGTGCGAGAGGGCGAGAGGTCGAGACAGCGAGATGGCCAGACGGCATTGATCAGAGAGGGCGAGGGTCGGAGGGCCCAGAGGCGAGCGGTGCTGCCGCACGGAGTCTCGACGCATGAGCCGAGGGTTGCGAGGCAGATTGCGCACTCGGCGCCCGAGTGGGTGCGAGTCAGCTGCAGCTCCGGCCCGTGCGCCTCCTCCTCCTCCTCCTGCGGGTCCGGAAGCACGACCAGGGCGGCAAAGGCGCGCCGCAGCCGCGAACCGAAGCTTGGCCGACGCTCTGGGGTCCCCGCGTGCGGCCGCAGGAGCCGCTCCTGTGCCTCGGCCTCCTCGGCCGCCGCTGCCGCGCCGCTCAGCGCGTTGGGACCCTGCTCCTCACATGCCTCCGGGAGGTGTGCAGGCGCCGCCGGCTGCTCGGTGGCATCAATGCAATCGTCCACCTGCGCCGCCTGCGCCGCCTGCCCTGCCACAGCCGCCACAGCCGCCGCCGCCACTGCTGCCACCGCCGCCACCGCCGCCGTCACCGCTCCGTTGGGATCCCCCTCCTCACCCTCCTCCTCCTCACCCTCCTCCTCCTCCGCCGCCTCCTCCTGCCACACCTGGGCCATCGGAGCACTTGGAGTCCGTCCTGGCCGGGGAACCCCCCCCCCCGGCACACGTTTTTCTTTTCTTTACAATGCCTGAAACTTCCTGCTAAGGACGGCACGGCGCCCATGTTGCGCAGGAAGAGACGCACCTACACAGAGACACAACCAATCTGAGTGGGATGGTTACAGTGGGTTGCGGGCATTTTAAGAAAACGTGGCAGAAGAAACCCAACCGATTTCCGCAAAAATCTAAGAAACCACACGGCGCGTCGCAGGCGCGGCCCCGAGAAAAGGCCAGACACGAGTGTGAACGGGTCCGAAGCCAGCTAAAGCTCAAAATGTCTAAGAATTGAAAGAAAGACAGAAAACAGACAACCCAAGGGAGGGATGGGAGGACGGCACGCCGCCACCACACAGGGATTTCAAACTTTCTCTTCGCCTGCGGCAGCGCACTTGTCACTTTTCAAGTAGTCTGCGGTGTTCTGAGAGAGATTTTTAGCAATACCAAACAAATCTAACACTCACACGTCATTTGGGGCCTGGAGCCAGTGGATGGAGGCGTGTGTGCGTCTTCCCGTCATCCAGAGAGCCGACGTCGGCGGCAGACTCTGGCATCGCCCTCGCGGACCGCAGCTTTAATACTCTTCTTACCTAAAAATCCTTCGGGCCGGCGCTCTGGCTTGATTGAGTGCCCCGGCCGGAGCTAAGAAACCACACGGCCACACGGGTCACGGCGTGGGGTGCGGATGAGGGCTGTGGAAAGGCTTAGAAACGGCGGCGTGCCGCGGAATCCTGTTTTCTTAATGCCCGCAACCCACTGTACGCGTCAGTGTCGAGCCCACTCTGGAGGGCTAGCTCCGAGGTCTGTCTGTCGATACTTCCTCCGACACGAGAGCGCCACGGCGTAAAAAAAGAAAGAAGCTCACGAGTGAGCCGCGCCGGAGAAGACGAATCCGATGACGACGAACCACCAGTGTGGTAATCCCGTCGTCAGCTGTCACGAACTCACGATGCACCCGAAGGGAACCCCAGCGCCAACACCGACCGTGGTCCGTGGAGGTACGAGGGTTTTTTCTTCTTCGAGTGTTCGAAACGAGAGTGGAGCGGCCGCACATTGCTCGGTACCCCCCTGCACATCTAAAGTCATCCCTGCTGCTAGGGGGGGGGTCTGACCCCCCCAGCAGCAGAGGCCAGAGCGCTGCTGCTGGGGGGGGGGGGGGGGGTCGGCCATGACTTTGATGTGCAGGGGGGGTACCGAGCAGTGTGCGGCCGCTCGTGGATGGATCTGAGCAACGACATGACTTGGCGGCAAATGATCGCGGAGTGTGGGAGTCAGAAATGTGGTCCTTGCGCGAGGAGAGCTTGATAAACTCGAGGGGCCAAAATACGCCGCGAGGAGGGCGGAGTCGCGCCGAGAAGAGGCCGCGAGAGCAAGGGATCGGCAGGCGGCGGCGTCGCAGAACGAACGAGGCCGAGGAGAGCGATGAGTCAGAGGATGAAACGCAGGAGAGAGAACGACGAGAGTGAGAAGACCGCGAGGCGGCATGAAGGTCGCTGCGAGAATTGGCGAGAGACTGCGAAGAGAGATAGGAAGAGGCAGACGCCCAAGGGTGGGCGACGGCTAGCACCACACCCCTCTCCTTAAAATCCCTCTGTGGTGGCGACATGCCCTCCCATCCCTGAAAAAGAAAGAAAACACACAAGCCAAGGGAGGGATGGGAGGACGGCACGCCGCCACCACACAGGGATCCCTCTCTTGGCTGTCAGCACGAAATTCTTCTCTGTCGGCGTTTGCTGTGTGAAATATATAGGAATTCCTATACACAAAATGGCTGCCCGCTTTCGCTTGCTCGATCGACTCTGAAAGGCATGAATAGCACCCGTCGCCGTCGACGCGGCGCCGTCTCGCTGCTGTCTATCTTTGCTGTGTGCTTAACACTCACGCTCGCGAATGTTCTCCTGCTGCCTGGCCGTCTGCCGCCGGCGTCGCCAAACCCGCGAAGAGAGGCGGCCCGATGCAACGCCGCGTTGCAGCTGCCTCGCTGCCCAACGTCGACGCCATTCCGCCAAGTCCTCAACTCAAGGCACACGCTCCACACCGACGGGAACTGGAGCCTCGCCGGCCTCGGTGACGGGCACCATATTCACATCGGCTCGCTGCTCCGCCACATCGCTCAGCGCAGGATCCAGCCGGTGAGGGTGCCGGCTCACCTCATTTGCCATAAAGGGATGACTCGGCCGTCCGACGCCGCGGGTCCGTTCGGCCTTCCCGAGGTCAGTGGTAAGGGGGAGGTCGGCGGGTCGCTCCTGCTGCCCGGCGGGCCTGCGCATGCCAGGGACGCGTCGCATGACGCCTCGGCGATGGCCAGGCGGTTTGCAAAGGTGTGCCATCGCCTCGAAGACGAGAGCCGGATGGCGCACGCCTGCGTCGGCGTGCCTGGCATCCTCGCCCGCACCGGGTACACGTGGCACAGCGGGTTGGGGGCTCGGTCGGAGGCCGAGACAGGCGAGTGGGTCGAGGAGGTGAGCAAGATGACACGCCGCAACACGCGTCTGCTATCTAGTGCAAAGACACACCGCTGCACGCGATGACACGCGCAACACGCGTCTGCTATCTAGTGCAAAGACACACCGCTGCACGCCCCTGCTGTCTCTAGGCGGCAGGGAACCCGTGCGGCCTGCCCTACCGCATGCTCGACGGCGCGCACCGGCTGTGCAAGTTCAAGGCGGAGCTCCTCCGCCACCACTTTGGGAAGGCGCCGGCACACCGCAAAAGTCCCCCTCCCCCGCTTCCCCCTCCCGACCCCTAGCCTTCTCGCCTACGCCAGCCAAGCCTCCTCACCCTCTATCCTCACAACTCCACCACCCACCCTCACCTCCGCCACCGACACCCTCGCCCCCGCCAGCCCTCGCCGCTGTCAGCCCTCGCGCCCGCCGCCATGCCCTCGCCGCCACCACCCCTCGCCTCCGCCACCCTCGCCGCCGCCAGCCCTCCCCGCGCCGCCGCTCTCCACCGCCGAAGCCAGCCCCGCGGCGTGCAGGAGCTCGAGGGGCAGCCGAGCGGGCCGCGCGAGGAGGGCGACAAGCCGTGCCCGCCCTCCTTCTTCGTCGTCGACGCGGCGGATGTGCTGCCGATGGTGGAGAGCGAGGCGGACGAGAGGAAGAGCCACCAGAGCCACCCCGACTGGTCCTCGGCCGAGGTGGAGCAGATGCGCGACTTCTTTGCGCCGTGGCTGCCGCTGCCGCTGCCGTCTGCCCCAGCGCCGGCGGCGAAGGCGGCGGGGCGGACGGAGGGGGCGAAGAGGGAGGGGGAGGGTAACGAGGGGGTTGGAGTGGAAGCGAGGGCAAATCGGGAGGGGCGTGCAGGGGCGGAGGAGGTGGCTGGCGAACGGGACGCGCTCACAGCTCACAGCTCGCCCCTTCCAGAGACGGCGGCGAGTGCGGGGGGGGCGGAGGGGGCGGCGGCGAGGGAGGGGGGGGCGAAGAAAAGCAACAAGACGGCGTCGAGGCGGCTGGAGCCGGACCAGCTCGAGCTCCTCGGCCTCTCGTACCCCCTCACTGGCGGCGGGGCGCCCTCGCCGTCGGAGCTCGAGCAGCTCCTTGCCGCGCTCGAGTCTCCCGAGAAGCTCTGCTTCCGCTACCACGGCGACATCCACGGCGGCGGCGGCGGCGGCGGCGGCGGCGGCGGCGGCGGCGGCGGCGGCGGCGGCGGCGGCGACTTTGTGCAGAGGCCGGCGCCGCGAATCGCCTGCGTGGACGTGCCGGCAGACCCCGAGGCTCCGGCGGGGCAGGTGGCGGACGGGTGGGCGTCCGAGCTCGGGGCGGCGTTTGGCCTCCGCCTGTCTACGACGGAGAGCATCCGGGCGGCGAGGCGCTGTCGACAAGCCCTCGCCCGCAACCGCACCGCCACGGCTTTCTACTACGCCTACGGCTTTTCGACAGCAGAGGAGGCCGCTGACGGCGCCTCGGAGAGCGCGGCGAGGCAGAGGTGCGAGGAGGAGGGCGGCCTGGCGTTCGGCGCTGTGCAGCCGCTCTTCTCGCACAACGTCCTGCCGCTCCCCATCGTCGCGCTCCGGGCGAGCAAATACGCAAAGAACTTGCTCAAGCAGCGGAAGAAGTTTCGGGTTCCGGCCGCCCTCGACGCCGCCGCGACGGCCGCTGCGTGCTCTCTCGAGCTGCGCACGTGGCGGCACGGCGAGTTCGCCTCGTCCGCCGTCACGGAGCGGTTCGAGGGTGCGGAGCTCGGCGCCGACGATGGGGCCGATGACGGCTTCTCGCTCCAGGATGCCCAAACGAGACCCTCCGGCGGTGCCGCGGGCAAGGAGCGCATCGCGCAGCGAGTGCTGACGGCGATACAGCGCTCCAACCACATCCTCGTCCAGCTCTCGCCCAACCAGACTGCAGCCATCGAGGCGGCGGCCGCGGCCGCGGCGCACTTCTTTGCACTTCCGCCGGCAGCGCGTGAGTGGAAGCACGCGCGCTTTGTACACGAGCGGCGGAACGGCTGGTGCTCGCAGCCGAACCGCACCGACGCGTGCACCGAGGCGGTCCGGCGCTACGAGGTGGCCGAGCACAGCGGAGCAGGCGCCGGCAGAGCAGGCGCCAGCGGAACAGCACCGGAGGGGAGCCCTGCCGCCGCGCTGCTGCCGCTGCTCGATGCGGCGCTGGGCGTTCTGCGGCTGCTCACTCAGCGCGTGCTCGCGCTGCTCGAGCAGGCTCTGCGCCTGCCGGAAGGCTTGCTTCTCGACGCGTTCAAGTACTCGCTCACCTGCTCCGCCGGCGACTTCGCCAACCAAGCGGACGGCGACGACCACGCGCGGGCGGACGCGGGCGGGCAGGGCGGTGGCGAGGAGGAGGCCACCGAGTGCAAGGGGATGCATGTCAAGATCAACCTGTACCGCATGGCGGCGGACTTCAGCCGCGGCCACGGCGAGCCTCCCGGCGATGACATTGTCCAGATTCGGCCGCACGCCGACTTGGGCCTGATCACCGCCGCACCGCTCTCGACCGTGCGCGGGCTTCAGGCGGTGACGCTCGGCGGCGATGGGTGGAGGTGGACGGACCTCGAGCCTCGCTCGCGCGCCGGCGAGGTCGTCGTATTCGGCGGCGGGCTGCTCGCTTGGCTGACGGGCGGGGCTGTGCGGCCTCTGCTCCACCGGGTCGTGACGTTTGCGGGCGGCGATAGGATCTCGATGCCCCTATTCGTCAAGCCCGCCGCCGAGACCGGCATCCAAGTGGCGCGCAGGCCTGACGGCTGGCGCGAACTGCAGCCAGCGGACTGGCGGCCGGCCGGCAGCGGGGTCTCGTTTTCCCACGACCGATACCTCGACTTGCAGCGAAAGTACGAGGTGACCCGATCCGCAACAATGCACTGTGCCGCCAAGGACATCGGCAACTGCTCATTGGCGCAGGATGAGGGTAAAGCCCGATGAAGAGAGGGCTGAGAATCTCGGGGGTTCGCGCGTAGGTCTCCCAAGCCGTGTGAGCGTGACCCGCGTGGAGCATGCGTGAAAATGTAGAATGAATCGGCCCGTGTTTGTGGAGGTCTCTTTTTGCGCGATCGTACTCAGCTACATCGGGAGACACTCAGACTCACACACGTCAGCTCAAACACCTCAGTACAAAGAAAATTCAGCGCTCAAGCGAAGCCACCCCTCCTCGATGCTCAGACTAAGAGCGCGCGTCACCCAAACAGCCCTCCGAAGAAGCCGCCCTCCTGCTGCCTGCGCAGCTGCTTTGCCAGCGATGCAAACTCGTCCGCCTCGTGCGCGAGGTTTTCCGCCTTGTCCCCAACCTGGGCGAGCTTCTCGCCGCGCTCCTGCGCTGCCGAGAGGCTCTCGTTCATCGCCGACGCCGCGGCCCCCGCCTGCTTGGAGCGGAGCTGCGCCAGCCGGTCAGCTCGCCGCGCCTCCCGCGTGGCCGCCGCCCCCTCCGCCGCGGCGGCGCCCCTCCCCTCGCCGAGCAGCTCCCTCCGCCGCCGCTCGGCCGCGTCCCCGCCCCGCCCGGGCGAGCGCTCCTGCGGCCCCTGCCCTCCGCCGGGCCGGCCCCCCTCCCTCCGCTCCGCCGCCTGCCGCTCCGCCTTCTCCTCGGGCGGGAAGAGGAGGGCGTGGAGCTCGCGCGGCGCAGAGGGGGACGCCTCGCCTCCGAGCTCGCGCGAGATCCAGCCGAGCCCGCGCGAGAGCCGCTCGTGCACCGACCGGCCCGAGCTCTCCCCTGGGGGCGGGGGGGGGGGGGGGGGGGCAAGCCCCGGACGGGTTTTGTTTTCCGGGGGTCTTTTTCAAACACCCTAAAGGGGGGGGGAAAGGCCCCAAAAATTGCCGAAGAAACCGGCCTCCCCCTTTCCCTTTGGGGCAAAAGGGGGGTCCCGGAAGGCTTGGACCGAAATCTTGGGCCAAAAAAACGCGTCGGCCCCGAAGGGGGGGGTATCCTTGGGGCCGCCCCCCC